CCTGGTCCAGGCGTCCCACGGGCTGTGGCGTCAGCCCTTCCTTAAGCCCTGGCTGCAAGAGGGAGGCCGGAGGGAGCTGGGAGCACCCAGCCCGGGATTTGGAATCAATGGGGCACGTTGTTCTGTGGAGCCCGAGCTCGCAGGCAGGACGATTTGCAAGCACGGGTTAGAGGGGCAGCAAGGGATGGACAAATTCCCCATTACAAACCCCCTGCACCATACAGGAGTCTCATTTAATGCCTCTGTGCATTGGTCGTCCCCCAAGAACTCTGCTGTAATGGGGGTCCTGCACATCAGCCCGCTTCCCTGTACCCCCAAACCACTTGCACTTCCCAGCACCGTACTGCCAGGGTCAGTGACAACCCCCTTCCCACCCCATCACGCCTAGCCCCAAAACGCGTTTCCTAGCTCCAACCTGAAAAAGCACTGATTAAACTAGAGGTATTCTGCCACCACTCCCAGGCTCTGGCTGGGCCACCCACGCCGGTGGAAAAGCCAGCTCAGCTCACGCCTGCAGGAATAAAGTCAGCCACCATGCTGCCCCGCAGCCAGGGGAGCCGAGGCGGAGACTGGATTCCCCCGTTACGGCTCCCCCAAAATTTGCCACAAGCTTTCCCACATGCTTGCAACTGGTCTGAACTCTTGCTTCGTGCTGCAAGCTTCCCCCGCTGCTGGCAGCAGCACGGGTCCGGCGAGGCAGAGGTTGAGTGGGCAGGCACCACTTCCCCTCGAGCACCAGAAAAATAAAAAAAGCAAAGAAAAAACAAGAGCAGTCCTGCCTCAAAGCTTTGCACAGCCTGCTCGGGGAGGCAGAGCCCCAGCGCGGGAGATGGGGGCACGGCACAGCCTCCCCGCTATTGCACAGCCCAGTGATTGCCCCCCGAGCACCCCACAGCTGCCGAGCTGCCTGCTGCGAGCCCCAGAGCTGGACGCATCACCTCCGGGATGTGACCTTGTTCCTGAGCCTCTGCAGCCCTCTGAGGAAAGCCCATGCACTGTTTCAGGGCAAATGAGGACGGAAGAAGGACTTGGGGGGGGAGAAAAATAAAACAGGAGGAACAGAAAGGCAGTGGGACAGGCATGACAAGACCTTGCAATTCAAGCCCTTCTGTCCCAAGCACGTCCCAGGGCAGCATTTGCTTTTAGCCCCCGCAGGCAGCTGCTGCCAGCTCCTTCTCACCGGTGAGGCCTTGGCACTGTCTCTCCTGCGTTTGGGACCCCAGCAGGGTCAGCGCAGGAGGAATTGCCAGAACGTGAAGAACAGTTTATGTCACCTGAAAACCCTGGGAACACTCCGGTTTCCCAGGGCGCTGGGCTCTTGCAAGAGGGGTGGCTGCAAGCACAGAGCAACGCAGCTCCCCCCTAGAGACCCCTCCGCGTGGGCAAAAAGGCAGCAGCGGGACAAGGCGATGTGGGGACACGTGCCGGTTACCCCAGCAAGTCCCAGGGCTCCACTGCCAGCCCCGAGCACACAGGACAGCTGGGTGCTGCCGGTGCGGTGCTCCAGGCAGCCGGAGGGGCAGGAGAAAATTAGCTGACAGAAGTTCCTGGTGCGGACGAGATTGTAACCCACGTGACGCTGCAGGCACGTAACTGCATCCTTTATGCTAAGAAAGGAACCATTTCCTTCTAAAGAAGAAAAAAAAAAGTGCCTAACAATTTTTTTTTTCCTCATGCTATAACCTCCACCAGCTAAGAACTGACACAGACGTTTCCTGGAACTGCTTAATTCAACATCGGAATCCTCGCCTTCGCCACCACCGACCTCAGTCCTATTAAGTTGCACCTCTCCCCGGGAGGTTTATCCATCCCACTCCGCTGGCGTGGGCGGGGAGAAGTGAACAGGACAATCTACAGAACTGTAAATAAATCTATTTGCCTGAGCCGACCTTTGAAATGAAATCTCTCCGCTGCCTCCCCAGGGCTCTGGTTCCAGCCCCAGGTGAGGTCCTAGGGACGGCGGCGGCACGGGAGGCTGCTTCCAGAGCCGCGTCGCTTTGTTAGCACTGGGGAAAAAAATGTTTCGGATGCATCCCGGTTCTCCTCGATCCGAGGAGGAGAGTCAAATGCCATGGATGGGGCAGAGGGCTGCAGGGTGGATCCCAGCCCTGCTGCAAAGAAAGAGCTGGAACAAAAAAGCATCAAGGAAAAAAAACATAAAAAAAGAAATGAGAGGCAGGGGGGAGAGAGGGGAATTTGGTTGCTTTGGTCATGAGAGCCAGCTCCTCGCAGGCACAGTTTGTGATATTTTCCACAGCTGAGAGTGGAAAAAGCTATCTGTGGAAGTGGAAAAAGGGCTCTCAACCTGCCGAAAGCCGTCACTCATCGGCCCCACGCGGCCCCGCTGCCGGGAGCGGCT